TACAATAAATCAAAAAATTAGCCGGGCATGGTAGCGTACGCCTGTAGTTCCAGCTACTTGAAAGGCTGAGGTGGAAGGATCGCTGGAGCCCAGCAGATCGAGGCTGCGGTGGCTTAGAGCAGCCACTGCACTCCAGTCTGGGTGACGGAGTGAGACTCCAACTCAAAATAAACAACAACAAAAATCGGGTCTAGAGTTCAGAAACTCAGGTTCTCAATTAAGTTAAATCCAAATGTAATTTTTTTAGTGAACTTTCTTTCTTTTTTTGAGTTAGAGTCTCACTCTATTGCCCAGACTGGAGTACAGTGGCATGCTCCTGGCCACCGCAGCCTCGACCCACTGGGCTCCGGCGATCCTTCCGCCTCAGCCTTCCAAGTAGCTGGAACTACAGGCTCCTGCTACCATGCCTGGATAATTTTTTGATTTATTGTAGAGATGAGGTCTCACCAAGTTGCCCAGGCGGATCTCAAATCTGCGGGCTCAGGCAATCCACTCACCTCATCCTCCCAAGGTGCGGGATTACAGGCTGAGCCACCAAGCCCAGCTTTTAGTGAGCTTTCTAGACCACTCTTCAAAAAAAGTTCATTGTTCAAAATGATGACCTGGACCAGGCGCAGTGGCTCACTCCTGTAATCCCGCACTTTGGTAGGCCCAGGTGGGAGGATTGCTTGAGCCCAAGAGTTTGAGACCAGCCTGGGCAACAAAGTGAGACCTCATCTCTACAAAGCAAAAAAAATTAGCTGGGTGCGGTGGCGCATGCCTGTAGTCCCAGCTACTCAGGAGGCTGAAGCTAGAGGATTATCTGAGCCTAGGAGGTCAAGGCTGTAGTGAAATATGATCGTGCCACTGCACACCAGCCTGGGTGACAGCGTGAAACCCCAACTCAAATTTAAAATAAATGACCTGTAGGTGTAAGAGTGGTCAGCCTCTGTCTGTGAGTGTCAGAACACAGGGCTGGAGTCTGTGAAATTCACCTTTTCTATGTCTTGTCTACACACACACGTGTGTGCACACGGCAGTGAGGAAAAAGACTGTTTGGTTACCTCAAAAACAATTGAGATAGGAAAGAATAGTACAACTCCATAGAGGAGTCGGAGTGTAGACAATGAGATTAAGCTCCAATTGCTGCTCCTCAGCAATGTGAAGAATCAAAGTTAGGGCAAGAAAGCAAAACCCTTAGCTTCTATTTACAGTGGTATGAGAGTGGGAGGAGGTGATCCCCCTGCTCTTGGTACCCTCCTGGCCCAGTGCTGCTGAGCTTACATGAACATTAGACCCAAGATGGCTTAGAGGCTAACAACCACAAGGGCATTGCCCAGAATTATAGGAATTAGCAAACCCGTTCCATGGATAAGAAAATTTAAGCACCCCCCCAAAAAAACGCGCTTGCAATTTTAATATTTTAATCTAGTTTTTAATAAATAAAACATTTTCTTTTTTTTTTTTTTTTGAGTTGGAGTTTCACTCTGTCGCCCAGACTGGAGTGCAGTGGCCGCTCCCGGCCACCGCAGCCTCGACCTGCTAGGCTCCGGCAATCCTTCTGCCTCAGCCTTCCAAGTAGCTGTAACTACAGATGCGCGCTACCACGCCCGGCTAATTTTTTGATTGATTGTAGAGATGAGGTCTCACCGAGTTGCCCAGCCGGGTCTCGAACTCGCGGGCTTAGGCAATCCACTCACCTCAGCCTCCCAAGGTGCAGGATTACAGGCTGAGCCACCGAGCCCAGCCAAATGAAACATTTTCTTGAGAATGGCAAAGGGCATCTCTGAAATAACAATAGAACATATAGAAAAAAGGAGAGGGATGGAGTTAACTGTGCCCCGGCCACTGAGCCCCCAGTGGTGAGGGTGGACAGGGTTCTCAGATCTGTCTGGGTGACCCCCATGAGTCAATCCCCAGTCTGGTGCTCACAAGTGCATTTTTCTCCAGGGAAAATGGAGTTCTTCCTGCCTTCAGACAAGCCCACCCTTAAGAAAGTTGAGGCCTGGAGATGAGTCCCAGCCAAAGAAAGATTTTGCACGTGTCTCCTCTGGCCTCTGCCTGTTTCTGATCCTGGTGGCTGATTGCCACTTTCCCTGTGCCCTTCATGCTTCTCTTCAGGTCAGGCTCCTCCCTACACCATCTCCAGTGACAGGAGGAGGGTCTGTTCTTAAGCGAATATAGTTAGACCTGAGTTCGAATCTCCACTTCCCCATTTAGCTGGATGATTGGACAAATTATTAAATCTCACTTTCCTCCTCATTTATAACATGGGGCTCACAGCCATGCCTCTCACAGGCTGTTCTGAGGACTGGACATAACTTTATTAAATGCCAAGCAAGGTGGTGGGTGCTCACAGTGGGTAGCCATAGTTAGTTATTATTCTCTCTGTCCAGACTAAATGTTCTCTTCTCCATATTACCATTCCTTCATTCATTCTCCTTAGGTCTTTCTTCTAACCCTTTAGTTACTGTTTGGCTTTTCTTGGATTCCTTTAGTTATCAATCTTTGAGCTCTGAAAAGACAAAGAGGTAGAAGAGGAAGCTGTGTCACTGAGCACCTATAAAGGGTGAAATACATGATTCTTACTACAATGCTCATTGTTATTCCCATTTCACAGATGAGAAAACTGAGACCCAGGAACATGCAGTGTTTTACCCAAAGTTCCACACATAGAAAGGAAAAGAGCTGAGACTGAATCTGTCTGCCTGACCCAAAGCCAGATCACTTTCCTTTGTACCCTTTTGCCTCTGCATGATGTCGCAAAGTTTCCCTGTTCATTTTAGAAACTCATAGACCATGGCATTGTTTGTGTATTTCCGAGACCAGTCATTAACTTTTTTTTTTTTTTGAGTTGGAGTCTCACTCCATCGCCCAGGCTGGAGTGCAGTGGCATGCTCATGGCCACCCAGCGTTGACCTGCTGGATTCCGGTGATCCTTCCACCTCAGCCTTCCAAGTAGCCGGAACCACAGGCGCACACTACCATGCCCAGCTAATTTTTTATTTGTTGTAGAAGTGAGGTCTCTCCAAGTTGTCTGGGCTGGTCTTGAACCTGTGGGCTCAGGCAGTCCACTTGTCACAGCCTCCCAAAGTGCTGGGATTATAGGCTGAGTCACCGAGCCTGGCCCCAGTTATTAACTTTTTGGACCTGAGGCGACCCCCTGGCCAGGTGGCTGGGGGCAGTAGGCAACTGTCTCGGGGAAAGTCCTAGCATATGCTGGACTCATAGCGCTGCAGCTGACACTCTGTCCTAGAAGGGAGACAGGCAGCAGGTCAGAATACCAAGGGAAGTGGGTTGGGAGGGGATTCCAGTGAAGTGGGGCAGCTGCCATGAGAGGAAACGTTCACATGAGAAAACAGGAGGCCTCTGACAAGCTGCAGGTTTCCATTTCCAATAAAATTTTTTCCCTGAACTCTACCTGTGTGCCTGGAGTCAAGATTCCTTATATATGCATTTTAGTTAGAAACTAGATTAATAAATGCTAGTGTTTGTAGAGGACTTTTTGTTTATTTTTAATTTTTTAATTTTTATTTTTTGAGTCAGAGTCTCACTCTGTTGCCCAGGCTGGAATGCATGCCAGCCACTGCAGCCCCAACCTGCTGGGCTCAGGCAATCCTTCCACCTCAGCCTTCCAAGTAGCTGGAACCACAGATGCATGCGACCACACCCAGCTAATTTTTGATTTATTGTAGAGGTGGGTTCTCGCCAAGTTGCCCAGACTAGTCTCGAACACCGAACTCTGGAAATCCTCTAGTCTCCACCTCCCAAAGTGCTGGGATTACAGGTGTGAGCCACCACACCCAGTAGCTGGGCACTTATGGTTCCAGCTACTTGGAAGGCTGAGGCAGAAGGATTGCCTGAGACCAGCTCTTTGGGAGGCCAAGGAAGGAGAATCACTTGAGTCCAGGTTTGAGACAAGACTGGGCAGCATAGTAGAACCTTGTCTCTACAAAACAAATGCAAAAATTAGCTGGGCATGGTGGCACACGCCTATAGTCCCAGCTACTCAGAAGGCTGAGGCGGAAGGATCACTTGAGCCCAGGAAGTTGAAGCTGCAGTGAGCAGTGATTGTGCCATTACACACCATCCAGCCTGGGCGACAGAGTGAGACCCTGTCTCAAAAAATAAAAAAAAACACCATCATTAAGACTGTTAGTAGACTGTCAGTTGCCTCCCTGAAACTGACAGCTCCTTGACAGGCTGCCTAGCTAAGAGTGCATTCCCACTAAGCATGCCATGAGAGTAAATTCTCATCAGCTGGCTGTGAATGGAAGTGATGTGTGTAACTTCCAGTCCCTCTGAGTCCCTCCCCACAAGCTGGAATGCAGATCACCAGTAGCAACTTCAGTTCTCCTGAAGAGGACAAGGTGATGGGACTGCAAGAGAGAAGGGCGCAGGGTCCTGGATAACCTTGAGGGGCTGGGCCACTCCACCAGATTGACTGGCAAGACTGTTGTGGGAAAGGGAAACGAACTTCACTCTTTTAAGCCACTATATAATTTAAAACCTTTAATTCTAGTAATCATATAAAAAGTTTCAGATGTCTTAAGTTTATAGGTGACTGAATTGTCATAAACTGAACAC